TATATATCCACTCATTCGCGATTCGGAGGGAGAGCTCTAATGCGATCGTCACCCAAGCCTCGATTCCGATTCGAGTACGGTCGTTCATTGTCTCGGGAATCAGGCCCCGCCGGCGCGCACTTGAGTTTTTAATTCGACGCTCGACAGACTATAAAATATATATGTAAGGCACACTGCTATGTATACATGTATACATCCCGCTCCGATTAGAAAAAAAAAAATCGCCGCGAAAGGGCTTTCCGGCGCGTGCGATTTATGCGACACCGTGCACGTAGCGAGGGTGGAAGAAAGGGTGACGCGTGGGCATTGATACCTGTATATGTATACAAAGTCGAGTGCAGCGCGATCGATAAATCGCCGGCCACGTTAAGACCCGATGCTCGCCGGAGACCTTTTTTTTTTTTTTGTTTCCAGCTGGTGTCGTTCGCGGTGCCGGTGAGTGTATCCGTGCAGCACTTAGCTGCACCCTCCCTAGGGTATATGCGGCTCTACGTAGCGCCACTTGAGCTCGGGGACGGCCTGTTTATGGCGCGTCCGCTCCCCTCGCTAAACTCACTTAGAGGTGTACCTTCATCCTATATATATATATATACACGAGGCGTCGTCCCGTAGGTGGTAGCTATATATTATGTGTGGCTCTCTTGCTGAGGGATGGATAGGGGGAGAACCGTCTAGTGGGCGGTGGTCCTTGAGAGTAACTAATTTCACCCTTACATCCAGCTGTGCTTAAAATCACCCGTTGTTTAGAAAATTCCGTATTTTATACTTTTATGTACTTGAATGCAAAAAATTGCAATTTATAAGATTTTCTTTTCTCTGTTTCAGGTTGGTTTTGCTGCAACGTCTTGGGTGCTTCGTAAGTTTTGGCCTTTGATCACTTTACCCCGACTCTATTTTTAAAAATATCAATTAATTATTCGTACATCTCGGTGGGAAACCAATCGTTACTCGATGAGAAACATTTACATTCATTTCCAATATTTCAACAAAAAGGTTATATATACCTTACCCATATTCTAGTTTTTAAGCTTTGTAAATGCAATAACGATAAAATCGGTCATATAAGGGAGATCATTCCTGTAATTAATGTATAGCAAACCACTTCTGCTTGAAGAATTTAAAACATATAGCAACATTTCATATAGTTTGTCGGATTTTACCCCTGAGTATAAAACCAAAATCCAAAGCTGAATTTAACGTATTATATAATACTTATGAGATAACCACGTTATGGAATTTGAAAACTCGTCCAATTGTAGACTGAAGTTTCAAAAACAAAAAATCAGATCCTGCGGATTCCAGAGTATAATATATGCTGTGTGTAACATGTACCTATATGTATATACCAACAAAGTTTGAAATGCAATTAGTTCTGTTGTAAATTAAACGTGCCCATTGTGAATACATAATTTCAGCTACAGTTCAAAGAGAGAGAGAATTGTAATATGCCGTACCGTGCCGTACAATGCATACAATAGAGTGTAATAAAACTTAAATTCTGTTTTACCCGGCGCCGTACGAGCACAGGAACAGATCATATAAATCATATAGGGATTAAAGAGCTAAGTCTCAAGTATAGGTATATAACATACCTTCATCACGTAGATGAAAGTGTTATTTTAAAAATCCGACAGCTCCGGTGCTGGTATATGTATTGTTACATAGGCACTGTAAAACAAAACGGTTAAGCAGCTCAGTTTATGCAGATGTTCCCAAACTCGGCAAATCGGAAAAAAAAAAGTTCGTTGTATACATAGACATTTGTTGCACTCCCAAGTGGAGCGTTCGCTGTACGCTTATCGATGCGTTGCATTTCTTCCTCCCTCCTCGATAACCCTCGTTTCTCTCCCCTGGCTTGCAGTGCTGTCCTTTGAGTCAAGTGGATGATAAGTACCTGTGCATGTATATATATACGTACAATATTGTACCCGCCAACCAAACGGAAAAGAAAAAAGGAGGGGCCAGATTTACGGTTTCGTCTACTCTGTACTGTGCTTCCAGCAGCAGCTTGCAGTATTGTAAAGGAGTGCACTTTCCCTTTGACTCCGGACCTGTATAATACTTGAGCGCAGAGCCCTGCCCATCGTATATATATCGCTACGAGACGAGTCGTGACGGGTGTATATATAGCGGTGCCAGTTGTACCGGAAGCACACCGATACCCGATAAAACGGAGCAATGAAATTTATGCCCCGGGGAATCGGAGGAGACGAGCTGCTGTGATGGTATATATACAGATTGGCGGATAAATCTGTATCCCTCGGCTGATCCCCGCAGTTTTCGAAGCCCTCCGATGACGACGACGACTCTTGTACATTTTTTTTTTTTTTTTTTCTTCCCCCCCGTTTGCCGATAAATCGCGATATCGACCTTGGGATCGCTCGTAATTGCCTCGCAGGTGTCGTTTTTTCCCCACTTTTCGGGAGAGGATCTAATCGCGTCGCACGGAAAGTTGCCCACGGGGCCGACACCGCACACGCACGGAGCAGCTATACACACAGGCGAGTTTAATTTGATCCGGCTGGAAAATTTACGAGCAGCGGCTATACAGCAAAGAGGAAGGGAAGGACAATTCGTCGTCGTATGCGAGCGTGTACGGCCGACCCCCTGTAAAACGCCTATTATTACGCGAGCCGTATTATTTACGAGCAGCACGTGCCGACGCCCCCCCCCCTACGACTTCTATCCCTGCGTCGAATGTAACTATAAACGTATACCTAGTTCCGCGCAACTTCTCCTCTCCCTCTATAGGTATCCCAATTGGTCGTCGATTCGCAGTTGTCGGCGTCGCAGGTGCGTCCGCGGTCGCGAGAACTGTAGCTATGTACGCACGTGTAGGTGTCATACGTGCATATGTGTACGTACTTTGTATTATATGCTTACAGAGCGCGACCGCAGCTGCAGCTTTATATTATAGAGTGGTGTGTGCCATTTTCCCGCGCCTGCGATCGCCGCGCTCCATTAATAGACGATGCGGCCGCGCTTTCGTGATTAATGCATTCGACAACCGTCCGGCCTTGACGCTTACACCTGTGCAGGGCTAACACCCCCCCGTCACTTGCAGCGGACACCCCTTGGCTCATATCTGCCCCCCCTTGATTTTAAACTCGAGTTACCGTTTGGTCATTCCGGGGTACACCTAATGGTACTAACGACCAGAAAATTATATCAAACTTTTCGAGTCGATCGAGTCACCTGCATCCCTCTCTCTCTCTCTCTCTCTCTCGGGATAAATGGAGTTTATTCCAAAAGTTTGCAGCAGTTGTACGACGCATGACAAATGGATGCGAGTTTCAGCCGCCGCATGCGATTTTGTGTTCGTATATTTTATTCCGTTCATGCAATATAATATTATTCTCGAATTTGGCTCGACCGAAGTTTAATCACATCTAATTTTTGCTACAGCCACAACTTGAAAAAAGGAATGAAAGACACTTCGCGGTAGTTTGACGAGCCCAGGAATGACGCGTACGAAACAAGAGGAGGGGAAAAGCTCGCTTGTGCGGTGAAACTTTTTTTTTTCAACTCGAGCATCTGGTGAATTTAACAGTCGTGCCCGGTGGTGTGTGCACGCCCCTTGGAACTATGTCGTTGAACGTTAATTTCGTAAAAAAAAAAAAAAAGAAACTTTTGATAAAAATCAACGAGGCGACAATTAGACGTGATGAAAGAAAAAGAGAGAGAAATCCAGGCATGAAATCTCGGTCCTCCCGGAGCGCTCGGGAAAGCTTGTCTCGGAAGAGGGTTCACGCCTCCGGGCGGACGAGAGCGAGGACATGGCGTCCCTGTGATGTGTATGGTTTATATATACGTATCAGTGACTCTTTGAACGAGACACAAGACGTGCCAGAGTAGTAAAGTTTAACGGCGCGCGCCTGGTATAGGTATGTATATATGTTGTATATGTGCACGGCTATTGTTGTCCCGCCTCGCGTGCAAATCGCGGCGCACCTCGCGAGAGAGAACGAGTGGGTGCACTGTATAAATATACACATGATGGAGTTCACTGGGATCCAATGCCACCAGTGCATCGAATGAAAGTCAATTTGATTCTCTTCCTCCCCCTCCCGAGAGCTCCTTTTACTCCGCACTCTTGGACGTCTTGCTCGGGCTGCTGAGAGAGTATCTCGCGATACCAACACACACCCAAACGCTCTATGTGTACATACCTACCTGTATCTTGCCGAGTACTTTGGAAAATTCGCCTTGGCTTCTATTTGCAAACAACTTCTCTGAACCTTCCCATATACATATATCCCGGTGCTGCTGTGTATACTCGCGAGCGAGCCGTACACAGCTATTTACTCAAACTCAATCAACACAAATGGGAATTCGTCGTCATTCCTCCTCTTTTGTATGTGCTGTAAAAACAATTGTACCGGTGGCATTGTATAGCTTTCGAGTTTCCAACCCCCGAGATGACGATCGAGCATTGGTATAAAGTGTGTGTAAATATATCCAACCGAGCGCGTGTAACTATTTTAATAGAATTACATTGAGTGAAAAACTTTTTCGATATTAGGTACAAGTTATTCCCCCCCCCCTCCCTCCGCGTAGAAGAAGAAGCTCGCTCTCCGTGTTTAGCAAAAGTTTTAAACTCCAAAAGTTTCGACCAAAGTATAGAAGAACAACTTGCCCACAGCCAACGGCAACAAATATGACTCTTTTTTTTTTTTTTTTTTTTTCTCTCTCTTTCACACCCTCTTAAATCTGATACAACGTTGCGATGTATACACGTGTAAGTGCGGCGTTTTATACATCCCAGGGATGGTCCGTGGAAGCGCCAAGGCAGCAGGTGGACGGAATTTTTGTCGCGAAACTACTAATGTTGACTTTGCAAAAACAAGAAAAGAACAGCTGTTGTCGTTATCAGCAACTTGGTACAAGCCCCACTGCGACGGTATATATACCTATAACTACCCGCAGAAGAAGAAAGGAACGAGGGATGGCAATTCGTCCCCCCCCCCCGAAAACTCGTCCGCGGTTGGCGTAGTTGCAGCGTAACTTTTTGCGCGGGACAAAGCAGTTGTCGTAACTATAAGTACGAGGACAAAGAAAATCAGATAACGAGGACTTTACCCCTCCGAAGCTCGACTGCGTGGATTACAGCGCACAGCAGGACCCTCCTCCTTTCCCTGTATACATATAATATATACTACGGTGAAATTGCCGTCAAGCAGCGGTAGCTCCTCTCCCCTGATGTGGACCCTTTCCGCTGTTATACTATAGACGCACGCATCATGGAAAAATAAATAAACTTTTTCTTTCCCCGGAACGAGCACCATCATCGTGAAAAGGACAAATGCCCCCCCTGTTCGTTTTCTTTTGATGGAAAAACTATAGTTCCGTCCCGCCACCTTTGGGCGAAAAATATCGCTCAAAGTATGAAAATCGAGGAAGGGCGGGCGATGGTAAAGCGATGCGGAAATGCAAAATTCCGAGAGATTGCTCGTCTCTCGCCTCCCCTGGAGTAGTATACACATATACTCGCGCGCTTGCATTCTTGGGGGGGGGGGGAGGAAAATTCCCTCGGATCCTCTTTAAAGGTTTTTCCTCCTTTTTCGCGCGCACCTAAAAAAACGCACGGAGCAACCGAACCGCCACGGCCAAGTTTAAGAGCAGACGTAGCTCTTTTTTATTTTTCTGGCCAAGATAGCCCCCCCCCACCCCCCATCCCTGTTGTAAGTGCGATTCCACTAAACGTGCCCCTGGACAAATGGGGTATATTATATGAACTCCAAAGCTGATGTATATACACGTATACATCAGCTTCGTGTCGGGGTGACGACGGCAAATCGTTAAGATGACAAATATATGTATATACAAGAGAGGAGCCAGTCGCGCGGAAAAGAGTTG